GGTAGCCAGTGCAGCGAGTTATGGTTCTTTTTTTTGGAACTATAACTTTTTTGGAATCATAACTTTTTGGTAGCCAGCACTGCCAGGCATGGTTCTTTTTGAATTGCTTTTTTTGAATCGGAATATATACTAGCTTTTGCTTTGGAATTACAATCTTGTTTGTAGCCAGCGCTGCCAGTTATGGTTCCTTGTTTTTAACTATAGCTTTTTTTGGAATGATAGCCGATGTTTTGCAATGGCAAGAAGCAAAAAACTTCAGCCTCCAAGTGAAAGGCCTTGCCTTTCAAACCTTTGTTGTTTGCGTGGTGTAGGGCAAGATGCTTGAGCGAAGCGTTTGTCACCCAACAAAGCCACGGAGCTGATGATAGACTGAAGGCAGAAGTCGCTAGTCACAGGAGAAAAAAAGAGACAAGCTGGCTCACACAGACTCACAGATGGCCGTGCGCCATGCGCAGTTTGTTGAGCCCAGGGTTTGCTTGATTGGTATGTATGTTTGCATTTTCCTGCAAGTTCCTAGTATTTGTACAATGTTTCCTGAGTCCAAACTTCTGGATTCACCTTGCTGGTATCTTTCTGCGGGATTGTAGGTTTTGTTTTTTGGTGTCTTTTCACAAAACTTATAGATCTTTTTCAAACATAACTTTTGACTATATACCCTGACCTGTGAAGTTCTACAGTCGCGGATGGATGGAACTGGATGAATCTCTGAGCTTTTGAAACGACAAAGGGGGGACATATATAGGTCATATAAGGTCTTTTTGGCGTTGATGCTCTTGAGATTCGCCTGGCCTTTTTCGGGCTGGCTTTTAGAGAGTCGCAAAGAGAAGAGATGGGAGACAACGGCCTGGCCAAACCTTTGCCGATCCTGTTTTGCCAGTGATGCGTAGGTCTTCTGCCAAAGGCCGCAAGAAACCAACGACTTCAAGATTCTGTCTGTTCGAACTCTGTGATGCGATGGCCTCCAACCTAAAAGCAATGGCCTCCAACATACGAGCAACGGTATTCAACCTAAAAGCAATGGCCTCCAAAACCAATAGCAATGGCCTCCCCCTAATAACGATGTCCTCCAACTTACTAGCAATGGCCTCCAACCTAAAAGCGATGGCCTCCAACCTACTAGCAACGGTATCCAACCTAAAAGCGATGCCTCCAACCTACTAGCAATGGCCTCCCCCTAATAGCGATGGCCTCCAACCTACTAGCAATGGCCTCCAACCTAATAGCAATGGCCTCCAACCTAAAAGCGATGGCCTCCAACCTAATAGCGATGGCCTCCAACCTAATAGCAATGGCCTCCAACCTGAGAGCAATGGCCTCCCCCTAGTAGCAATGGCCTCCAACCTAAAAGCGATGTCCTCCAACTTACTATATAGCAATGGTATTCAACCTAAAAGCGATGGCCTCCAACCTACTAGTTACTAGCATTGGTATCCGACCTACTAGCGATGGCCTCCAACCTAATAGCAATGGCCTCACCCTAATAGCGATGGCCTCCAACCTACTAGCAATGGCCTCCAACCTGAAAGCGATGGCCTCCAACCTACTAGCAACCGTATTCAACCTAAAAGCAGTGGCCTCCAACCCAATAGCAATGGCCTCCCCCTAATAGCGATGGCCTCCAACCTACTAGCAATGGCCTCCAACCTAAAAGCGATGGCCTCCAACCTAATAGCGATGGCCTCCAACCTAAGAGCAATGGCCTCCAACCTGAGAGCAATGGCCTCCCCCTAGTAGCGATGGCCTCCAACCTATTAGCGATGGCCTCCAACCTGAGCGAAATGGCCTCCCGCTAATAGCGATGGCCTCCAACCTACTAGCAATGGCCTCCCCATAATAGAGATGGCCTCCCCCTAGTGATCTCAAGTTTGCTTCTAATTATTGGTATCCCCTATTCTCTTCATCGTATATGGGAGTTTGTTCTCGCTCTTCGGACTGAAGACAGCTCTGGCTGTGTTTAACTGGCTGTTGCAAGCATACGCCCAAAGACACCCATGTTCTGTGCACTGTTTTTTGTTCTTCGCTTGTAACACCAGTATCCTCTGGACATCCATTCTGTTCATCTTCATACCTTCTCGTTCACCATGTATGATGCCTTAAGCTGCCCACTTCCAATTCAATCGACCCAGCAAACACGAACGTGGAACATATAGCCTTACCAAGTAGTGACAAGAATGTGTATGTTAAACTCTGTTCTATTAACCTCTGTTTAGCAAGAACATGAATGAGCCCAAAGCAAACAGTGTTTTCCAAACAAAAGAAACACTCTTTCAAAATCAAAATCATCAAAAATCAATGATAATTATGCGTTTAAGCAATCAATAGTTCAATGAATTGAAACATAATCTCAGTCTTCATTGATCCCACCTCCTGCAAGTCCACCATAGGCGGCAACTCCACCGCCTCCGCATGCGCAGCGTGCGACAACAGCGAAGGCGATGAATAAAAAACACGTGGGCATGGAGAGGCACCGGCATTCTATGACCGGCCCGGCAAAAGGCTGACCAGCATGTCAGCTTAACTGTTAAACCGTTGTTAAAGTATTTCACATCCCAGCAATAGACCCTCAACAGTTTCAGCAGCAAGACGTGTTATTGTCATGGATAACAAATACCCTGTACATCGGCTGCCACCTCGGAACTGGTGTCTTCACGACACACAAAGCAAAGACGATAGAGAGCAAGGTCACGTCCTTGCAGGACACCAACGGCCAAAGACTCTTTAAACACTTTCTTGTCTGCACTGCCCCTTGTGCACAACTGGACACAAAAGGACACAAAGGACAACTGCAACTCGACCGGCACAAGTGCAAAAAGGAAGTCTTAAGCGCTAAAGAAAGAACGTGTGCATATATAAATTGATGAAATAAGCACTGCAAACGATCCCATGGAACCTGAAAATTCACCCGTAAAGGACACCTTTCCGACCTTTTCCGAAGACCAACCCGACGTGGTTTTGGGGTTCCATGTGGTCGGGAGAAAACAATTGCTCAATTTGTGGAAACATATGCTTTCTCGTTTCCTGCCGAGAGCTATTGTTCTTTCCTCCCTTCATGTCCAACAAAAGGTCAGACCGAGTCAAACCCCCCACAACCGATTCATCCCTCACCTCGAAAAAGGAGTGTCTCACGCGTCGAAGCCGACGCGCCTTTTTCAGCAACACGACGCGCGCCTTAAAGACCTCCATCTCGCAGGCCTCGGCCGCGGTGAGGCGCTGCTGAGGATCCACCTGCAGGCTTCGGTGGCTGGGAAGGCGGGGGGCGGGGGGGGGTAGGAATACCGATACCATGCCACGAGCGAAGCAGCTTTCAGGAATCAGCGACAACGGTGGAGTGAAACCTTTGCTCAAGTTGGCATGTCATGTGCAGGATACTGTGAAACAAGT